CAAAGATGTGGTAGTATTAAACTTAGCAAGTTTTTGGCTCCCAGTGTCCAAATAAATTTTTATACTCAATAAATTAAATTAAATTCTTGAAAAAGTCAAAAAAATTTTAATAAGCCTTTCTCTTTTCTTTTTATTGCAGCCTCATGTGATTAAGGTAAGTGTAACTACTTAACTGCATTAAAATTTATTTATATTCTTGCCTAAAAAATATGTTGATTTTAGTTTATATATATTTTTTATTTCAATGTCAGGACGGCACAGCCGACATTTGCTCTGATTTACTTAAATATGTAAAACATTTTTATAAAACTTTAAACGGTTATCCTAAACAAAAATTTCTTCATCAGTATCTCACTGTACTTAAGCCTTGTCCCGATAGCATTGTCCGAAAAAGCTGCACCATATGTGATTTCTCTGGTCTATATTTTGTCCGGCTATCTTAAAAAAGTCATGCAGACGATATTTGGAGGTCTCTAAGAAATTTTTATTTTATACGTAAATAAAAATATTTTTTCTTCTTTTTTTGGCGCTACAACCGTTTGTCGGCTGGCGCTTAAATTTTTGCCAAGTGTTTGGCTAAGCTTCTCCTCCAATTTTTAGTGTGTGATTTTATGTGAAAATTCTTATAAAGTTTATTTATAAAAATATTTTTTAAAATTAAAATAGGTAACCTAATAAAAATCTAAAGAATTGCTTATTGATTTTTTTAATGATGTGTAAGTAGTTTGCTTCTCGATAAAAAGAAATGTTTTTTTTTAGAAAAACGATGGAGGGAGATATCTTATTGGTTTTGCTCTTTGTTATTATGTAGCTTTTTCTCCGTGCGATTTGGTTTCGAGCACTGTGAAGAAGGTCTTCCCGATTTGAACTTAGTTTTTCGGGGAAACCAGATATTGAAATGGCGTTGTGGGCCAGTTTCCCTGCGTGGTTTACAAATCTGTCCTATAGTCGGCTAAAAACTGGAGTGTGTCGATTTGCTTGTATAACTGTTAAAATATCGTCAATGGTGGATTTTCCAGTCCTAAAGCTTCAGTCTTTCTTACACTAACAAGGGGCTTATTACGCGTTAGTTGCCGCGGTTTGTGGAAAAGTTTTCAATTCATTTTATTGTTGTATTCACTTTGCCTTCGTCGAGTGGAGCGATTCCGGCATTATTTCTAAACATTATTGTTTTGGCATACTAAAGCATGAGAAGAGTTCCCTCAGTATATTACGAATACTCTGGTCGTCTATTACGCGACGTCCATCTTCTTCTCGGCAAGAACCTACGCTCGTCGTTGTCGCGTTGCCCCATCGCTGTCTGCCTTACCTGTGCTATATATAACTCCTGTTTCGTTGATAAGAATGGCTATTGGCTTCTAATCATTAAAGAAATGTAATATATTGTTTGAGAACCCCCATGTCCGATTGAACCTACAAAATTAGAAAGGTTTTGAAATAATACGACAGACTCCGCTGGGAAATAAAATTATGACGTTATCTATATATGATCAGCAGTTTGCGAACCACGGTGACCATGGTTTCATTTTGACTAGTTGGAAAAGAAAATATTAAAAAAAAAGTATTTCGTCTTTAATTGTGTATGCATGTACTAAATATGTAGCTAACCGCTGCCAACGATAAACCAAAAAAAAATCACTGTAGCAAATCATTAACACATCACAAAATCCCTACTTATTAATGAGTCAGCGCAAGCGATATTTATCGAACGATTAGCCATGAATGACGGCAACTAAAAGTTATGTACTCTTATTATCGAATTCCCCAAGTATTATTTAACAAAATTGCATTTAAATACACCATATTGGGTAACAAATTTCAAGCTCAAACAAAGTGCTCTAAGCTTAAATGTGCCACAATATTTATGCTTATCGTTGTTGGACGGGACTAATGCCAGAGCAAAATAGCCAAAACAGCAAGCAAAATGCTTAGGCAAATAGCAACAAATTTCATATATGCACTTATGTATGTATTGCCATAATAAAAACAATGTAAGCGACAACACAACCAACAGCAATAACAACTAATAACGATTTATGCAATGACAGCAACAGCAGCTGCTGCTACTTGTAATTGCTGTTGTTGTTGTTGTTGCTGCCACCACTTTGCAATGCCGCGCCGTTGTCAATGTTGCAATTGCTGTTGTTATTGTTGTTGTTTGCTTATTGTTTGTTTGTTACTGCTGCTAGCCCTTTTGCTGTTGTTGTAGTACATACATATTTTGCTGCTGCCATTCTAAATTTTCCAAGAGTGCATTATGCAGTTCAAAATGACAAAGCGCTTTCATTGTGGTTGCTGGCTGTCTGTCGATAATATTGTTATCGTTGTCAATGTTGTTGTTGTTGTGGTTGCTGCTGCCTGGCATGGCATGTCATGTTCGCTTACATTATGCACACACATACATACATAAGCACAACAATTGCGACATTAACATTAAAACAATCGAAAATTATTAGTAAATGCATAAAGTGCAATAACAACAAGCGAACATTGCGAACAACAACCAGATCAGCAATTACAATGCACTTTAAATTGCTTATGTTGTGGCTAGAAATTTTGTTGCCGAATAACAACAGCTTTATGCTGGGTCTTAAGATAAATAATAGCATTTGCGTTGTTGTTGTTGCTGTTTATATTGCTATCTTCTTAAGCATAAATACATATGCATATGCCAGCTAATTAGCATACACACATCCATACATATTGTAGTTTCTCAGTGCAACAACTACAATTACGTATTTAGCCTCTGCCTCAACCTATGGTTACATTTTTTTTCTAACGAGTAGACAACAATGCCTCCTACAACAAACTACATATAACCACAAGCAACAAGAATGGTTATTATCGCAATCGCAGTTACTTGCTTGTAAATTAGAATTTATGACCAATTCTGGTATTGAAATAGCTTCATATATGTTAATGTAATTGCACTAGCTTTTGCTCGCAGCGAAGTTCGGTTTAACGCTATGATTTGAAAAGCAAAAAGAAAAATAAAATTAGATACATAAATTATATCACCAAAAAATTCTAATTCTATTACTACGAAATTCGGAACACGAAATTCTGGTTTTCAAAAATCTGCTTACTCAAAATTCCGGCTGGTTTTCCGGATTTAAATTATTGAAAATTCAATTTAAAAATATAGATAGTTCAGAGTTTCATTTTATTATTTTTTTTGTGTTCTTATAATGAAATTTAAAGTATGTATCTAATTAGTAATTTAAAGTTAAAAATTTTTATACATATTTTTTCATTATGAAAATAAGCATTTCCGAATTATCGGGCAACAACCTACTTCTATTTTCAACATAAATGCTACCCGATGCACTAAACGCTCTTTCTGAGTTTACTGAGGAAGGTGGTGGGAAGAGATACTTCATAGCCAGTGTAAGCAAATTTTGAAATTCTTTGCCTTTTCCAACAAATAGAGCTATTTTCAGCATATTTGATTTGTCATACATTTTTCACTAAATTAACTGATTAAATTTAATTACACTATAAACAGCTGGCAACACCTTTAAACAAATTTTTCGAAGTAAAGCTTTTTTAAACCTATTTTGTTTAACTTGAAAACATTTGTAACGTTTCATTTAACTTATTAATTAAATTCAAATAGAGTTGCGAACAGGTGGCAACGCTTTTCATAAATATTTTCGCAACAAAGCTTCCTCATACCTGTTTCGATTGACATTTATAACGGGAATTAACTTTTGAATAAATTGGATTTGACTTTTAAACAGGTGGTAACCCTTTTCTAAATATTTTCCACATCAAATTTTCTAATACCTTATTCATTCATAATATGGATGCGAAGTGACACATGTTTAAAAAAAATTTATTACGATATAACATTTTATTAATATGTAACTAATAGTTTGGTTTTACAGCATGGGTGGCTACATACCTTTATATATGTAGGTGGCAATACTCTTCAAAATTTTTTTGTAATAAAACCTTTTTAAATTTGTGTCACTTCGTATCCATATTATGAAGTTTTGTTGAACTTGTTATTTCAACTAGAATTTTACATTGCAAGCAGCTTGCAACCCTCTCCAAAAAATGTGCTATATTTAATACCTGACATAAGCTATCTCACAAACGTTCACATTTATAATATTAGTGGGATTTCATGTAACTTGTCGATGAAGTTGATTTTCCTAAACTGGTGGCAACTCGTCAAAAACATTTTCGAACAAGAGACAGCATTTTTAAAGCCTCTCTAGTTTGATACCCACATGAAAATATTTCGTTTAACTCATTAATTAAATTAATTTTAATTTTTTGAATAGGTGGCAACGCTCTTAAAGAATATTTTCGAAATAAATCGTTCTCCCACCGTTTTCGGCTGAACCTAGATTGTTGTAATACTTTATTATTAATGGATTTTAAATTTATAACAGAAAATTTTTTAAGAAAATTTTTTGGAATAAATGAATTTACAATACCTTTCGTTTGGTACCTACAACCGTAGTAATATTTTATTTAACTTAATAATTAATGGATTTTAAATTTTGACGAGTTGACAACTCTCTTCCGAATTTCTAGTATATTAGTATATTTTTTTCGCCAAAAATGAATCAGGTCGATAGTAACTAGATCGCCATCAGTTCAAAAGTAGCGAAAATTTTCATTAGAAGTCTATATCACATCTGTCGAATTTAGAACTGGTTCGGAGCTATCGGAAAAGTTATGTAGTTCTGGTAGCTCTTTTTGTATCTGAATTTAAGAAAGTTAAGTTACAGGGTCCATCCGTTTGTACTTGTTGAATTCTGGGAGAAATGTTAGTCAGAACTCGATTTTTAGCAAGTGAAACCGATGCTTCTTCTACTTCTTTTTAAATCGGAAATCTAATTGTATTTCATACCGAAAGAAGTATCGCAAAATTATAAATTCAAAAGTTGCATCACATTCCTTTCTTCCCTTCATTTTTCATGCCTTTTTAATATATTTCACTTTCTTCAATCGACGTTAAAAATAAACTTGAAATTTTTCCAACTTACCGCTCAGTGAATTATGCCCACAACCAGGCGTTTTACCTAGCAGATAATCGTCTTTGCAGATGAATTTATTGTCGTCCAGCACATAAAGTTGTTCACCAGTACTGAGCTGTTTGCGGCAGATGCAACACGTAAAGCAATTGAGGTGGAATACTTTGTCGCGCGGCTTACGTACGAGATCGGAGGGAGCGATGCCTTGACCGCAGCCACTGCATTTTGTGCCGTAACGCCTGTGAAAAAGAAAGTTAAAGATTAAAAACAGTTGTCATATGTAGAAACTGTATCAACTGTCTGTCGTTAACCTAAGAAATACATATTTTCCCTTTTTCGCGTACTAAATTTTGTAGAATTTACAGTAGGACAGCGCTTGTTGGAAAAACTATAAACTACAAGTGCCCTAAAAATGGCTCAACAGTAGCTAGAAAAATATATAAAAATATCTATGTACTTGTTCAACATGTCTACATATGTACATAAATACAAATCCAATTGTAGAACGAATTGTTCTTGGATCAATTGGAATCGAATGACCTACAAAGGATATCAGTTATAAATGTTGATTTATGGCGAATACACGGCTTCTTGATTACTCTATACCTTTAGCGCTTGTAATAGCACAAAAGTGGGTAAAATTAAAAAAAGAGCGATATGATAAAAAAAAATACTCAAAACAACGTCGCTTAGCGCTCAAAATAAACTTTTAATAACGGTATCTACACACACGTCTTCAGCACATCTTCACCTACGTTCTCAGCACAACACATCAAAGCATCACAACATCAAATCAACTCAATCAAAGCTGAATCAAATGCAGTCGTAAAGCAATGATTTTATACAAAAAGTGAAAAAAAGGAGAAAAATAAAATGAAAATATTTAAAATTGTAGAAAAAATAAACTGCCTTGCCTGTCATTGCAGCAAGTATTGAAGTACGAAAAAAGAGGAAGTGTTTGCCTGCGAAAAAAAATGCTTGAATGAGTGCGCCTGTGTGTGTGCGTGTGTGTGTGGCAATCACATTTTAATCGAAGCGAAATGCAAATGAAATTGAACTGAGGTACAATGGGCAAAGAAAAAAATGTTGAAGTGCATCAACGACAAAGTGCAGCAGCAGCAGCAGCAATGATTGGAATTTCTGCTGTCTCAATTACAGTCACAAAAACAAATAGAAAATATAACAGCAGCAGCAACAGCATCCTTACACCCAAAGCAGCTAGTACTTACTATGTATAACTGCCGATCATCAGGCACAATCACAGCCAACATGCCACAAACATTACACAGCTCTGTGTTCGTCACCTTACTCCTTTCGCTTGGCCAACAAATCAAAAAATCCGCCAATGACAATGACAACAAAATCTCAAAGCAATATTTATCTACATAGTATGTATGGAAATGTATGTATGTAGATGCCGTTGGGCAGACTGCACTGATGTATGTACATTTAGTTGAGGGATGAATAAAAACATTTGCACTGATTTATAGCAATGACATCGACGACGCGTCGGCATTGATTAAGTCTGTATATCAGTGTTGCCAGTTTAGATTATATCTCGCTAGATTTAGGGCTATTCCGGGCCATTAGGGAGAAAATTAGGGATAAAATGTCTTTAGGGATTTTATTAAGGACTTCTTCAAATATTAAAATTTTATATTTTAGTTTTTTTTTTGTTTTAACAGAAATTACAGGAAAACTGGCAAATTTTGGAACTTTCTTGCACATTAAATTTCGGATATTAAATTTTTTTATTTTTATCATCCATCAACATAGCGTAGCCGAATAAAGCTCTATATTTTTATCAATGTATGTAGAATTTTCCAAATCGTTTAATACTTTTAGTTCATTTTCGTATAATTGGGTTAATTGTTATTTTTAATCCATTATTTGCGCTGATCCCTTGTGTTTATATATTTTGTTTTTGAAAAAAGCTTTGTGGATCTAATGTGCGTAAGTGCAAGTAAAACTAAATTTTCTCCACTTCATGTCCAACATTTCGCTAAATTAAGCTTCCTAAGGGGCGAAGTGACTAGCATCTAGCAACATTGTACACCTACAAACTATATAGGTATGTACATATATTTAGGGTTTTTTAGGGAGAAATGAAATGACTTTAGGGTGAAGTTATATGGATCATCTGGCAACACTGCTGTGACTGAGTGCTACATAACGACTGATGTAGTGACAGACTCCACCTGCGCGGCGCATTCATTTGTGCAACAACATTAATTGGAATTTGCAAGCGAAAAAATTGCAAAACTTTTATGCGAGAATGAGAAATGAAAATGACTAAGCAAAAATAGCGCGCAAATTCCGCTTGTTGTAGGTGTCCTTTTCAATACTAATTAGTTTCATTATTTATTATGTCTATAATCAGTGTTGCCAGAACTTTTTGGGGTGACCGGCTAGATTGGACAAAAAAAACGGCTAAAAACGGCTAAAATGTTTCAACTAGAATTAACTTTTTTTTAATACATAAATTACAATTAGAAGGACTAGTAAATCCATTAAATTTTTTTTGCTAACAAAGATTATTCCTAGCTAAGCTGTACACCACTTTATTTTTGTTTAACAAAGAAATAAATTACAAACTTATGGCATTTTCTCTTCCATTAAACAATTTTGCCTTCTTATAAATATTGTAACATTTGCAGTAGGTTGCTTTTTGTCCCGCAAAATGACTATATTAGCAAAAAGTATGGCACTTTTGCTTAGGCGGAGGGCAATATAGAGAAATGAACACGTGAAGTTGTGAAAGGGCTGAGGAAAACAGAGCAACATTACTTCGAGAAAAGAAAACGCCATGATACAAACACAGAAGGTAGTTTATTATATTAACATTCGTTGTTGTTGCCGAACTTTTAACAAGTTTATGACATTTAACTAAAATCATACCACCAGATTCACTAGTAGACACAATTTTGATTCTTGTAAAAGTAAAAAAAAAATAAGTTAGTGAAGTTGGATGAAAATACTAAAAGTGTTGCGCGTTTCCAAACTGTCAGAATTCGGTACACCTGAGTAAAGATTCGAAAATAAAGTTCTTTGCTTTTCCGAGGATAGGGTACGTAATACGTGCAGTTCGACGACAAATTGCTGACGCAAAATATTTTTTAACCTCTAAAAGATGTACCGTTATCCATGGAACAGGAAGGAGGTCGAGTTAAAATAATGGCCTGCAACTTGTAACAGTACCAATTTTTGGATTCTCGGAATTTTCTGATAAAGATGTGGTGCTGCTAAAAAATTTTTATACATAAATATAAGCACGAAACTATGTATTTGTGACAAGAATTATCCACAAAAGATGAAAACTATTGCAGTTTCATTTTATAAAATTTTTGTTTATAGAAAAATGCATAAGTAAGACAGTTTGGGTACGGTTCGGTTATTTGTACAATGATTTTGCTTTTATCGTGTCCAAACACGTGACCCGAATAAATAAAAATTGTACATATACGTCTAGCAAAGGGATTAAGCTGTAATTTAAAATAAAGATTTCGGTTTGAAATATGCACATTTATTGTAAATTTGGAGGTGGATTTTGCGCAAAAATACTGTGGATGGCGTAACCGGAGTTGGACTGATGAGGTTATTTCTTCTAGTGCGGCTGAAGGCCACCAACTCGGAAACAACAATGATAACAAAAATAAAATATATTAGCACCATGATGCAATTCTTCACAGGTATTGTCTCCCCAGAGAGTTTTGCTCCACATCGAAATTTGTGCTCTTTTATTTTGTTGCGTGTAAAACTTCACACTTAAATTTAAGACATTCTTAACAAAAATTGAAGCAAGTTTCGCCTATTTTTCTTTAGTTTATTTAATGTTTATTATTTTTTACAATATGTAGCTCATTACTTAACCATATACTACATCCAGATTTTAGACTTTGTGTAAAAATTATGAAAATTCTGCAAAATTTCAGCAAAATTTGTAATAATCAGCTAAAATGGCGCGTCCCAGTTTATATGTAATTGGGTTACTCACTTAAAACAAAAAAAAACATTGAAATCGGCTCTTTATCTGAAGACTATTCGGGTTAGAAAAAATTGTTTTTCAATTTTATATAACACAGCCCGACAGAAAAAAAAATTTCTCACGGATAAGACTAGCCATTTCTAATAGATTTTGGATCACTAAATTTGTAAAAATAAAAACTTGTATATTTGAATTTTAATAAAATAAGGCAAATAGCAAAATCGGCTAAAACCGGCTAATTTTTTTTTGCAAAACGGCTAACAAATCGGCTGCCGGCTAAACCGAATTTTCTCCGGCTGTTTGCTATCGTAACCGGCTAAATCTAGCCGGAAAACGGCTAAAATGGCAACACTGTCTATAATCGTATTTGACTGCGCAGTAAACATATGTACATATACACCTTGTGTTGCAGTTATAAGCGCATATTGACAACTTTTAACAATTTATTTTTTAAATTTAATTTTAGTTCATTTTTTTATTTTTTTTTTTCTCTAACAAAAACCGTATAAATCCAAGTTTCAAACTTTGTGCGAAAATAAAATAACAATCAAAAATTTCCAGCTTTAATTAGATTTCTTAGAAAGATTTTGAGTATGCAGTTTTATTACCCATTAAATTTTAGTATCATAAAGTAGCTAAGACTCGCCGTTGATTTTTGGCATTTCTTTTTTTGTTGTTGAAAATGTTGCTCATTTTCTTCCATATAAAAAGATCGTCGAATAACAAAAAAAAAACTTGTTCCAACTTGTCAATATGCGCTTATATATATGACGCGGTGTGTATAAGTGCATAATTTATTTCCAAAACCGTTCACCAATGCAATTGAATTTTTGGAGCTTAACTTTGTAAATATTTATGATTTGAAATTTTGTTAATTAAAATTCCAATGGCTGACAAATATGCTTAGTTCATTGTTCTTATCTCTCAAGCTGTTAAAAAATTATTTGAATTTAATATTGGCATTTTTAACCTTTCTAAAATTTCACTTTCATTTCGTTTTGAGCTACAAGGCGAATACATAAAAATTTTAAGGTGCAATTATTTAATTTGCAATAAGCAATTATTAAGCTTAAAAAAGCTTTAATTGCATTTTTCGTCGCATTACTTTTCATACATATTTACCTGCAACCAATATTTTGGGATTTTATTTTCAAAAAATAAATAAAAGAACTATCCTTCCCAATTTTAAATTTTTTTGATATGATTCATTTCTCATTTAATTTTCTTTCACATTCTGAAGTGCAGAACAAGGAAAAATTTGTTTAAAGTAAACAAAAGTGTGGTTAATATCAGCAAATCATTGTAGAAAATATCAACAATGGCATTGTTTGTATTAAACAAAAATCACTTTGATTTCTTTTCAAGTTTGAATTTGGTAATATTAACAAATTTTTAGTTGATTTTATTCTCAGTGTTTAAATACATACACATTTTCGAATTTTATACTTACCTAAAAAAATCATTCCTACAATATAATTTCGATTCTCTACTAAAGCATTTTTCCGTTAACGGTTGAAGGCATTCACAGCAGCGTACGCAGGATGCATGCCATCCGCGTTCGAGGACATTTAATAAAAATTTATCTAATATTGGTTTATTGCAACCCGCACACGGATCACCAACACCAACGGGCGGTTCACTGCGTCCTGAAAATATAAATGAAAGCAGAAATATTTTCATAAATTATTAAAATGAATGATGTAACTATTTATTAATAATATCAAATATGTAGTTTAAAATTTGAAAGGTATATGCAATTAAAAGGAGGAAACTCTAAAAAAAATTTGTTTTTGAATTCCCTAATCAAAACTTCCCAGCTAAACGCAGCAACACGCCTGCATAAGCAATTTACTTCAGTTAATAGCTTTAAATTCTCAAATCATTGCCTTAAATCATAAATCTTTAATGAGATTTTGCACTCAAAAACATTTAAATGCCAGACTTTTACTGTTGAATGATGTTGAATTCGCAAAGTTTGCTGCTACAATATTAACTAACACACAGCTACATACATACTACTTGGGGCTTACGTATAAATGACGAACTTCTACCCACGGTCCATACGCCACCCTACGCCACCTATACACATTAGGGTGGTACAAAAATACATCCCTGAAAAATTTTTCAATGTTATGCTCTCACCCTCTATGATTTTTCTGAATGGAAAAAAGAATAGCCGTATTTTTTATATTTAAAAAAAGAAAGATATTAGAACTGCCTCAAAACGCATGAAGATTTACTTTAGGTCCTCCAAAACTCCCAAAAAATGCAATGGGGGACCCATGTAAAATAGTTTATTTTAGAAAATTGTAAAATAAACAATTTGGTATTATTATTGGCAGTCTTCTGAGGAGAAACAGAGTTTTCCGTTCAAAAAGTATGTATTTTCAAGGAGTCTGTACCTTTTCTACTAAAAAAGTGCCTATCTAAAATATATGAAAACCCTTGAGCCTTGAGCTTTTTTTATTTCGAAATTAAAAAAAAAAAAAACAGGGATATCTATTTAAATTTTTTTTCTTACCACCCTAATTCATATACATACATATGTACATATGTATGTACATGCGCAATTCAACAAACTATTAACAGAAGATTCTCATGCTTGGCTGTTCGCCACAAAGCCATTTAAAAGTCGGTCCCATGTGCATGTGTGTGTGTGTGTGTGTGTGTTGGAAATAAGTGAGGCGAGTGAGCATTTAAAATCCGTTTTACGTTTTGAGGGCAAATTTAGCACCTAAACTCATTAAGTTTGCACAATTCAACTAATTCCGCATGCAACGCCATGCACAAACAATCAAATAAAGTTCACACGCACACTCTCCATAGTGGACTAATGCACATTAAAAACAAAAGGGCGCATGTACTCCCATATATAGTACATCATATATGTATGTATGCGAAAAAACAAAAACAGTAAATGCTAAAAATTAGACGAGCAGTAAAATGCGCAAATGTTGTGATGTCAAAACAACATCATTAACACCGCCAATAAGCAGCAACAGCAAAAACTATGCAGGTGCAAATGAGTGGTTGTGTGTGTCCTTCCCAATATATGTACTTGTTTGCTTGTGGCTCTCTTTTGACTTTGAATCGCACGCACGCATGCGCCGCATACTTACTAATTAAAGTGGCCAACTTACGACTTAATAGCCACCTGCAGTAGCTGATCTCTTTGCTGAAAACACCTTTTTTTGCGTACTACCATTTTTTTGTTTTGATTTTGATTTTAGTTTTTGGGTTTTTGTTTGTTTTGCCATCATTAAATACGCAAATTTTTGGCTTTTCACTACGTACATATGTATGTATGTATGTATGCTTGCATGTGTGCTTAAGTTGTTCGCTTTTTCCACACTTTTTCAAGTTGATAATTGCTTTGCATGCACGCAAAATGAGGACGTAGATACTACTTACTTGCAACACTTTTACCCTGCTGCCCGATGGCACGCGTTTATACGTACGTATGTACATAGGTAGGAGTGACGCTTGGGCGTTCTGGACAAACGTTTAATTTGCCTCAAAGGCAAATGGTCTGTTAAATGGTCAAGGCGGTGATAAGCATATTAGTTAGTGTTGATGGATAATCATATTGAATTGAGGCAAATTTAGCTTGAAATCATTTGGTTGCAGAGCTGATTGCGGCGGGTTGTTTTTTAGCTTCTATAGTATTTGAAAAGTTTAGAGAAATGAAATGTGAATGGGTCTGCGTTTAAGTTAGTTTAGCTACAGTGGTAGTAGTTGGTTGATGGAAAGTACCTACTTAGTTAGTTTATAAGTTGAATAATTGGCTCAGTGGCGGACCCATGTAGCGAAAATTGGGGAAATTGAAATCGAATCAGAAATAGTCATTCAAAAGCTCATCAATCTACAAAATCGTATTTTCTGACCTAAATCGACAGGTGGCGACTTCTAAATTACCTTTAAAAATCTATAAAAACGGCAATAATATTTTTCATAAAAACTAATAAAAATAGGGGATAGGGTCTTGAAATTTCCAAAAAAAAGCATTTCCGATTGGCACCCTAATATACATATTTACATATGTATCTAAATAAATCAGATAGGTATCACAACGGATTCTTTGCCTTACTTGTTCGAAATTACATCGATAGTTGTATTAGTACCTTTATCGATTTTTCTAATGATCTCATTATTTAAGATCTCGACCGAAGCCGTTATCATATGACATATCGATTTAATTATCGATATATGTAAGTAGTTATCGTTATCATTATCGATATACGTGGGTATTTATCATTATCATTGTCAATATATACTTATATGTGCATTTATCGATAACATTCCTTATTTATTTATCGATATCATTCCTTATTTGTTTACCGGTATAAATTTATCGATGTCGCTTATTATTTGTATTGATAAATCAGTAGATGTCTCTTTCGTAATTATTAGCGATATCGATTGTGGACATGTTGCTCCGGTTATCGATGACATTATCGGTGTAACTCGATTCTGCATTTAATTTCTTTTTCGTAACCGTAGTCTCATTTGTGGCTTTGGTTTTAAATAATAATTTACGGATGCTAAAATTTCAACTGGCAACGCAACATTAATGATAGAGTAAAATTTTACACTTCCATAAGACTATTTTCAAAACTGCGTTTTTTAGTGAATTCAGAAAAGCGAAAAAATCGCATTTCAAAAAAAAAAATGTTCGAGTTTTAACTCGCAAACCCTAAAAATAAAATGTTTCCCTTTGTCTAAAAAATTTGCGAGAACTGAACTTGATTATTTTTCTTTGTGTAAATGGCTTTATTGAAAGCATTCTAATTGTGACTTGCTGCACACATTTGTTTTGCTATTCAACCAGCGAAAGTCCGCACGTGTGTCCTTTCAAATGACTGTGAAGGAACCAAAACAGGTGTGTTGGGATAGGATGAGAAGAAATGCTATTTTCATGTGGCACGCACACAAAATGTGGCATACATTGCGTGCCTAAGCATAACGGATACATACATTTATTTATACATTGAGTAAGGATATAAAAGCTCATGATTTTCTTTTTTTTTTGTTTTTTGTTTTTTTTTTTTGTTCACTAAAGTACCCCTGCTTTGGCTTTTAACACCTGTGTTTTGCCACACACATTCAAAACGATTTTCAAAGCTTTTTACTACGCCTACATATTCACCGTTATTAGGTGTAAATGAATAAAGGTGGGCTGTGAATGGGTTGTTTGTTTATGCATACATATATATGTACAAGCATGAAAATAACTACGTTAACTTAAGCGCTTCTGCACATTTACACCTTTTCAAACACACACTCAAAAACATATATATGTATATGTGTTTACATATCTTTGAATTGAAATTTACCCTTCAGGCAGTGAAATAAACGAAATTCGATACAAAACCGTGAATGAATAAAAAATAAAGCAGACCTTAAATAAATAAATAAATGAATACTCGTTCAAGTACATTGAAAGCTGAGGCCACCAGCTACTTGCGTACATAAAAATACAAAGCTCCCAAAAAGGCAAAGGAGGAGCAGCCGAACCGAAGCGCAACTCAAACTAAGTAGCCAGCCAGCCAGCTGGTGGTGTGGCGTCGTAGGGCGGAGGAGTCACCAGCCAGCCAGCCAGCCAGCAGACATGCATATCATCAGGCAACGCTCATTTGCGTTCTTGTTTCGTTTCGTATTCGTTTTGGTTTCAGCTTAGGTTTTTCGAAAGGTGGAGCTCATTCCCAACCCCAAAAGTGCAACCGAATAATGATACGGTTTCAGTTTCGGTTACGGTTAGAGGCTTGCTGATGTTGAATTTGAATTGCGATGTGAAGTGGTGTGGTGTGTTGTGGCGTTCGTTGCGCCAACAAATAGCCAGAGGGTAGTTTGCTTCGTCGGTTGGAGCGTTTATAAAGTCGTTACAAACACACACACACGCTTATTATATCTTTTGATAAGTTCTTTCCAAGGCAAGGTAGAGTCGGGTAGAAGATTTTGAAAAAAAAAACAAAAAAAAACAATGAGAACAGTGTTTTAAGTTAAAACTAAAGTCCAGCAGTTGAATGCCAGTAGTTCGAAGAAAGAAGGTGAAAAGAAAAGGAGGACCGCACAAAATAGCCCTGCAGGCTAGCGCTGAAACCGCAAATGCGGCAAGACTGGATAGCAGTAGCCGTAGCCACAGCCGCAAAGCAAACAGTTTAAATGCAGCGAATTGAGCAAAACTGGAGCAAAAGTGCAGAATATTTTAAAACTAGATGCAGTGCGAAATTTGAAAATGTGTATAGATAACTATCTGCCTACATATGTACATAGTTATGTGTGTTAGTATGAATATACATTAGGCTGCAACACCAAAAAAGTTGCGGTTTTTCCGCTGAGATTACAAAACTTATTATATTTGAACCAGGAAAATATTTCGGAAAAATATTAAGATTTACGTTAGCCGGATCGAATTGAAAATACCTCCAAAAATGTAGATTTCTATGAATAAAAATAGTTTCTTAAAGGACTTTTTGAAAAAAAATCCCCTCGGATGACAAAACTGTTTTAGCTTAAAAAATCTGCACAAAATTATTTTAAAAATGTTTCAAACTATTCCGATTTAGACTTATGAGATATCAGTGGAAAGGTATTTTCCCACTCTTTTGATTTCTTTGCAAAAAAAAATGTCATTCACGTCTCTTTT